AAAAAAAAAAAAAAAAGAATTGCAGTCAAGGTGACTGCTCCATAATCTGTTAGGAACCATAGGTAGTTTTCAGGTGAATTCACACGAGAGTGCTATTGTGTAGTGGAAAGAGCATTTGTCGGGGCAGAGATGGTTGCCGCCTCCTTTTTCACCTTGTACCTGTTAGATGACCTCTTAGGGTCCAGTTTTCTCATCAATTAAATGAGGGGGTTAGACTAGAAGATTTTTAGGTTCCCTTCCAGTTCCAAGATTTAATTAAAATATGACTAATAAGAAAATACTTTTTAGCTCTGGAAGAGAAAAATCAGTTTATGAATATAGAGAGCCTTGATAAATTCAGGTGATTTGGATGAAGGCTAGTGTGAATTGGCTTAATGTCTGAATTCTAGAATACTAAACAATATACTAAATACCACTATTCTAGTTAAGCTTTAACTTAAATTAGGTTAGTAGTATTAACATGTAGAGAAATCTCTAGGAAACCTGCAGCTGTAGATAATTCTGACTTAGAAGACAAACTATTTGGGTAATAAAAATAACATTTTCTAAAGTAGATTAAGTATTGTAGCATCACTTACCTTTTAATAATATGATTTAGGGGTGCCTGGGTGGCTCAGTCGGTTGAGTATCCAACTCTGGCTCAGGTCATGATCTCGTGGTCTGTGAGTTCAAGCCCTGCGTTGGGCTCTGTGCTGACAACTCAGAGCCTGGAGCCTGCTTTGGATTCTGTGTCTCCCTCCCTCTCTGCCCCTCCCCCGCTCAAGCTCTGTCTCTTTCCTTCTCAAAAATAAATGTTAAAAAAATATTAAAAGAAAAAAAGTGTGGTTTAAAGGTAAACTTTGGCCCCTGAGTGCTAAAAATAATTGAATAGGAATTATAGTACTTGCAGATCAAATCATATGAGACGAGGAGTAGTTTTGAAGTTTTCGGTTTTTTCCCCTTCCCCTAAATGTAAATGAACCTGTTAATCTTTAAGAAAACATAATTTTGATAGTCATAGCTGACCTTGGAACTGGATCCTTCACAAGGGTATTCTATTGTTTTAGCAGAATATTGTTTTGTGCCTCTGTCAACAAACACCTATGTCCCAGTTAACACTGAGTGTTTTTTTTAGCAAAAAGGAGCATGTATTGCTCCGTGCACATCTGGTTTCCAGTTTCTGGTCTCTGGATGATGTGAGCTGTGGATCCGTAGTGACACCTAGTGGGTGATAAGGATATGAGCGTCTGAATTTCATGGCCAACTTGAAAGGCCTTTGGGCATCATGCATTTTTGCCTTGACGTTGTTCCATTTCTATCATGGTTTTCATTGATTGGGATGTAGTCATGGGGAAATTAAAAGGATTTCCATTGTTGCTGGGAATGTGTGTTGTTCACATTATGGTGGAGTATGAAAATGCCTCTTCTCGTTAACCTAAATCAGAATTACTAAGGTGAGAGCAAATCTTCAAGATATTTAATCCAGTACCCCCACTTTTAAGATGAGGAAACACAGTGCCTGATGGGAAGTCATGCAAGTAAGCAATAGAACCTAAATGTAAGCCTCCATCACCTAATTCCCAAGCTTCCTGCCATACCCTACACATTTAATTTTGGGTTTTCTCTTTAGTTTTAAGACCCTGGTTTAGATGAAGGAGTAAATATATTCTCAGCAGAACCAGTACTGCTATGTAAAAGCAGATTTTCTTTTAGTAATACGGGGCTGGTCTCAAAATAGGGCTGTTGACAAATGCAATCCAGTGCTTGTGGACATCCATGACTAAAGCATGGGAGCAGGCAAGATCTGTGATCCAGGTCGTCAAGAGGTTGCTTGCGTTGAGGGAGGGTGGAGGAGGGAAGATGAGACGAGACCCTTACACACACTTTGGAGATTCTGTGGCTTTTCTTTGACAAGATAGAACGCCTCTTTGTTCAAATTACCCGTATTTTCTAGTGTATAGCAGGAGAATTGGTATTAAAACAAACATTCCTAATCACATTAGGGTTTGTGGCACATAGTTTGTTTAATCCAGATTGGATACATCAGGTACAGCAGTGGCACATGACTCAATACTGTAAATGATAATACGTTTTAACATATGCACTACAGTTTCAAAAGAAGACAACAGGAAACTCAAGAGTTTTTTTTTTTTTCATACAAAGTTTTCACATGTTTTATCTTCCTGCAGTTTTGTACAGTATTTCTTTGCCATTGTGATGTTGGTAAGCAAAGCCCATTTATTATATGAAAATAGAAAAGAACACACTTGATGTTTTTCACGATAACATTAATGGGTAGGTGACCTCTAAGGAAAACATTACATTGGAATGTCTGATTATCAAAAATATACCATCCCTCCCACCTCCCAGGTTTGTAAAATAGTCTATTGGTCCAAGGAGCCCCCCAGGATTTGGGTCAGTGCCCTACACTGGTTTAGAGTGACATCATCCAGTGTAGTTAAGTAACCTGCTAAGATAAATGTCATTCCCACACTTGATGAGAAAAACATAGAACATTCTGAATAGAAAACAAGACTCAAAAGGAACCCCTTTAAAGCTATTTCTTTTTCTGATAGCCACTTTCTCTTCATGATCCTGTTTGGGCTCCAAGGGTCATGGATCATAAAAATGGTTTTCCTTCATCCAGTCAGTTTAAAGCTTTGCAAATGAGACTTCATAAGGAAATCAGAAAGGGAAAATAAAAGTCTTCCAGGTTCTTGTTATGGTTACCATGCCAACTAGTTTAGAAGGGAAACTACTATTGCCTTAGGTTAACAGCATTGGGATCTTTCTGCCTTGTAGCTACCTGATAATTGAAGTGAGGGAGCCTGGACCACTGGACTTCGTTGATAATCTTAGAATCTAGATTTAGCTCAATTACAACCACTACCTCTGCAAAGTTAAAAAGTCAAGGAAAAAAATCTACATACGCGTTTCAATGTACACTTCTGCCTATATTCTGGCCAATAAATGACACGATCCTGAACTGCAGGAATGGTAATTTGAAAACTAGGTAAAAGTCCTTAGCACATTCACAAGGTGACTCTTGTTAACCATGGATCAGCATTAACTGTCCACTTTAATTTCTGTTCAAATTCTTTGTTCCCCTTAGTTTTACTTTTCTACTTGCTGGCCTTAAACTCCCATGTGATTGTAGACTATGTCCAACTGTCACTGAGAATATCTGGTCTTTCAGTCAGAAGTTAGTCCTGAATTTGACACGTTCTAAGAATGGGGGATGAAGGCGAAATCGTACAGAGTTTGCTTCTGGAGGTCCCGGTTCCCGGTGCTCCTGAATGGAATGCTTCCTCCCCCTAATCACCACCCTTGAAATCCAAGTATTAAAAATATAAGCAAGCCCCAGAGTAATGCAACATGATGTGGAAGAAAAATCTCAGGGCGAGAAGTCTAAGCCCTGGATCACAATCACGGTTCTGCCACTCACTTGCCATGCTGTGTCACTCAGTTTCTCTCCACCTGTTTTCCCTCTCTGTGAATCAAGGACTTAGTCACGTGACCTACTACCATCAGAGATAGTAGTAAGGATCAAAAGGACCCCGGAAGGGATGCTTTGAAATGTTTTAGCCCTCTCTTCATTGAGAAGAAGTAGCATTCGATGGAAGGAAAACTGTTCAGTTGTTCACCTTTTGTTTGTTTGTTTGTTTGTGTTTGTTTCGGACAGAATTGATAGTCCATAGCTGGTTCCACCCAGAGAATGGTGGCTTCAAAAGATGGTTTGTATTAGCACAGTCAAATGGTTTCCAAGGGCTGTGTCCAAGTAGTATTGACATTTACATAAGACTATGTCTCTAATTACAGCATGTATTCTTTGATGGGTCTTCTCCGAAGCATCACTGCTCCTAGAGGCAGCGAATGTAGTGGAAAAAGCATTAGACTAATAGCCAAGGGCCTTGTGTTCTGGTCCCAGCTAGGACATTAAATGATTGCATGACCTTGAGCAAGTCACTTAATTTCTCTGGGCCTCAGCTTTCTATGCTGGAAAATCAATTAGATATTCTTAATGCCTTTTAGTTCTAATACATTCTTAATACGATGTTTTCTAAGTTTCCATTCATTTGAACATAGCCTATTACTATCATTATTATTTTTAACCCTCTCTGATGCTTAGTGGGACTGAATGGGGCAAGGTGTTTCGGGAATCTTCTATTATGCTGAAGTGGTTCAAGAAACTCAGGAATCATTGCCCCAGAAAGCCATTGCCTCCAGAAAACCCTGATATCCCGGTTCTTCGGTCACTGGCCAATGAGTTAGTCCAATGACCGACCCAGCACACTTAGGTCTTTTTGTTTACTCACAAAAGTCTTCTAGCAGTGTAGTCTTGTTGTTCTCTCTTGTGTAGAGGAGTCCTTTTCCTGGGTTGACATCTCTTGGACCATTGGTGAGCTGGGTCTCTTATCCCTGGCTGCAGCTACGTTGGGGGATGGAGATGAAGGGGACAGTCTGAAGTCTCTTAGGAACTGGCTTAATGTGAGATTTATAAATGAAATTGAAGGAATACAAAATAGTTAATTAGGGTCAAAAAATGAGAAATTATGTGGGACATGATTTTAAAAATTTGTTCATTAATTTTTGTGGGAAGCACTAACACGCTCAGTCATAATGATCAGTCATTATTCTAACCCTGTGATGACCGGTTCTTAAACACAGGCAGTTTGTATGTGTATGCAACCATGTTCCTATTTACCTCTTTATTCCTTACTCCACACTCAGTTTTTATTCTTTTTTAGTAGGCTCCACGCCCATCGTGGGAGTTGAACTCATGACCCTGAGATCAAAAGTCGTGTGCTCTACTGACTGAGGCAGCCAGGCACCCTGTGACTCGGTTTTTATGATGTAAACTTAGATACTTAGATATGCTTAATTTTGTTCCATTACCATTCTTTCAAAGGAAATAATCTGTTTCTAGTCCTTTGCCTGCCTTCTGCATGGAGTCCAGCCCAGTCTTTCCCCTTCCCTAATGGGATATGTGTATGAAGTGAATGGATTTAAGTACTGATTCTCAGGTGTGTTTAGGTTGTTGTTATTGTGTGTGTGTGTGTGTGTGTGTGTGTGTATTCCTGTGTATATATTCCTGTGTATATATTCATCTGTAGTTGCAAAGCTTTTCTGTCTACTTAGACCACAGGCTCAGAAGGTCAAAACCACCCCATTCTCATATTAGGGGGAAATCTTGGAGGCTGGACCGAAAGGACTCAGTCAGTGGTCAGTGAGGATAGTATAATGAGATAAAGGTCGAAGGCTCCCTCTCCTCTGCCCTTTTGCACACCTTCTGGTTAGGAGCCATCTCAGAACCCACTGGCCTTCCCCTTCCACAGGCTCAACAGAGCTGGAGACATAGGGAAGCCCACTGAAGGTGTTCTTAGGTTCCTGACTAGTGCAACTTGTCTAGATGGCTGTGGCGGGCAGAGAGGCTCTTGGCCTACAATTGAACTGCTAACCACTAAACTGTAGAATGGATGAGGAGCTTCTGAATCTCAGAGGCCAAGCCAGAGAGACTGCAACTGGGGAGGGCGGGAAGGGGCCTGTCTCTCATCCTGAGGCCCACCTGCTCTGCTCTAAGCAGTGAAAATGGTGGGAGGCCTCCAGAAATGCTTTTCCCAGTCCCACCAGGGTGTAAACCACTTGAACAGGTTCTCCAGAAGTTAACAGTCACTCCCTCACTTGCACGGAGGTGATCAGGCTTTGCCCCCATTTCAGTTACCTTCAGGGACATCAGGCCTGAGGACTCTTCAGACCTCAAGTCATTTTTCAGACCATGTAAGACTCATCTAGAATCTCTCACTTGCTTTTGCACTTTGGAGCATCCTTCACTGAAGCACACAGGCTCCATCTCCTGCAGCCTCCGGATGGGAGTTGCCTTAATTGTAAGGTAAGCCAGAACCTTGCCCTTTCTGCATGAAACTGTTAATGGGGCCTCTTGGCAGAGTTCCGATGGGCTTTATGGTGGGTCCTGTAAGAAGGGTACATAACAAGATGCCCCCGGGGCCGACTACAGCTGTGAGCCCTGGGCTCTTCTCTCTTCACTGGCACACACCAGACTCGACCACGCCTCTCAGGTATTGGCTATTTCCTTTGTCAAGATCCCAGCGTGAAATTTCTGGTCAGTCCCTTTTTTCCCCAAACACCAGTGGTTCCAACCACAAGGGAGTGGACTTCCCTCATCCCTAAACTCTCCCTTTTTGGCTTTATTCTTTTCTCTTCCACAGCTGCATTCACACAGATATAACTTGCAGGCACGAGTCTGCAGGTGCTTGGCAGTAGGAGAAGGCTTTACTAACACGTCTCAGGATCACCGGGGTCCATGTAGAGACAGATGGCTGGACACAGAGAAGAACAGCCAGGGGGTGAAGCAGAGAGGGACAGAGACAGAGGACATACAGAGGGTAAGTGTTGCTGTGTGGTCAGTTGGCAGCTCTGTGCAGGTCAGCTGGGCAGTGGGGGCCCAGGCTCAGTTGACCTCACCCACCTGGGGGAATGGAGAGAGAACTCAGCAATAACGGACTTCTTAGCCTAAAAGCTTCTGCTATAAAAGAAGAAAAAAAAAAAACCCTCACAAAATGCATTGTTTTGGTTCAAAGG